GTAAGAAAATTATTACTAAGAATACAGATAGTGATATTGGTACATAGACTGATTTCTCCTGGCTTTCTCAGATGAAGACCAGTCAACTTCACAAACTGTAAACTACTTAAATCTTTGGTTTTCTTGTCAGTTTTGGTATTTTCCAGAATAAACTCTTTAGATGGGACAACAATGTAGCCCAGTTTTTCAGCCTGACGAATGATTTCTTCATCTCGTTGTCTGTGATATCTCTCTAGAGAGTTGGAATTTTTATTTTTCAATGCCTCTTGAGAACGGGTGATTTTATTCCAGTCTGGAATGCTGACCATCTTGATTGTTTCCTGTTACTGAAACAAAAAACTTGCATATTGTCTTTGTTTGCCATCTTATACATACCGTTATTAGCAGTCAGTGAGAGAGCAATGAAGCCTGAAACTTGGTACACAGCTTGTATAAGACAAGACAATCTCAGACATGTTCAGTGAGACGATGACCAACCATCACAGTACAAATATCCCAGCAAATGTACTAATGCTTACTGTCAGGGTACGAATACATCCGAAGGTTTACTAATAAGCACCACGGGTATAAAATCACTGTGATGACGAGTAAGTGAGTGAGTGAGTGATTAATTGTATTTACAATTTTGTAAAGCTGAGATAAATTGCTATTGCATGTAGGAGGAAAATATTGACAGTAAATGTTATAATGAAAGATATATTAAAAACCTCATCAAATAGTGGTAACGGCAACTCAATACATTTTCCAACGATTCTCACATATTGTTTACATTTTTTCTTTCTTTGGTAGCCATTTTGTAAACGTTGTTATGGATACAGGAAGTGAAAATAGCATGGGGAGTAACTCTATTCTTCATAGCGCTTTACGTCCAGGCTCTTTTTTTTCACCATCATTGAGAAAAATGTCGAAACTTGGATGGAAAGTGTTTCCTTGCTGCATTAATGAACTTAAAATTGAAACAACATTGGCATGTGGCCAGTCATTTAGGTGAGGTAGTGCTCAAAAGTGGTTCACCGACTAACCTGAAGGCATTTTAGTTCAAGGGTTTAATCCCTACATTCTGCATAGTGCATAGCCTGACATACATAGGATTTCCAACCCATTTTGAAATGCAGGTCAGAGGGGCTGACACTGAAAAAATGTCTTCATGGAACAAAAGCCTTTTGTGCTACAAGCTGTATAGGCCTACATTAAAGAAACCTTGAGCTAATTGAAAAAATAGTAGGCTTCAGCTGCTTTCTTGGCAAAATTTCTCTCATTGTACACTGGCACTGCATTGCTTTGCCCATCTACCTCCAATTAGATGCAGCAAAGTAGGACATGAAACTCCATTTATTTCATTTGCATTTATAAATCAGGCAAAAATAGTACCTCTCAGTCTAATTAAAAAGCATACTTTTGAAATTGATTTACGTAGCCAAGGTGAGTAGTTTCTTAGTCCTTTCCTGGTCGCTTCCTCATTGTTTCACCTTTATTATAATGACAGGTATTTTGAGTTTGTGGTATTTTTGAAGGAATAATGTAGTTTTCATACATTTCTGGTACAGTAGCCTACTTCTAAAGACTATTTATATTCAAGACCAAAATCAACCCCCAAAAATGGCGAACCTGTCACTTTAAAGGAAAAAGATACCATTGACAATATAAAGTTTAGATCAACTGAATCTTAATGTCATGATATTGTAATAAATACATTTTCTCATTTCAGATGGAAGGAATTAAAACCTGGTGAATGGACAGGAGTGATTCAAGATGAAGTTTGGAAGTTTAAACAAACACCATTACATTTATTATATCAAGTTTATTCTAGAAATAGAAATAAAAGCCATATTGTTTCATCTGTAAGTTGTGATGACAAGGACAAGGACTTAGACTGTATTGACATTAAAAAAGAACCACCTCTTAAAGTAAACGCAGGGAAACGCAAACAAAAACAATCCACAGTTCAGCCCAATAAAAAATTGCATTTGAAAACTTTAAATGCAAAATCTGAATATGATGTTGACAATAAAAATGAACACACTATAAGAAATTATTTTCAATTGGAAGTGAGCGTTGTTGACCTTTATAAACAATGGGCTTCAGTCGATTCCAACTTTCAAGAAATATCCAAAAAATTTCCTGGCATTCGAATTCTGCGACAAGATCCTGTAGAAAATTTATATTCTTTCATATGCTCATCAAATAATCATATTTCAAGAATCAGTGGAATGGTGGAAAAGTTATGTGTTCATTTTGGAGAAGAAATATGTGAAGTTGATGGAAAAATGTATTACCAGTTTCCAACAGTGGAGAGTTTAGCTGGCAGTAGCGTGGAACAGACATTACGTGAATTAGGTTTTGGTTATAGAGCAAAGTATATCAGTCAGACTTCGCAGTATATTATGAAGAACCACAATCAACAGTGGTTATATTCTTTAAGACAGATTTCCTACTCAGAAGTGAAAAAAGAGTTGATGAATCTTTGTGGTGTTGGGGCAAAGGTCAGTTTTTTAATAGATCTGTATTATAGTACATGTAGATCATATTCAAGTTTTATGGCTTGGGAAATATGATCGGTAGGCCATGAAGGAACATGGGGTTGGTGTAGAACAATTAGTGTCATTCTGACTCTATGAGTCAGCAAGTCTCAATTACCGGTACTCATCTGCAGCTAGCCCAGGTTCTGGATATCCTTTAAGCACTTGTTAAAAATCAGGTATGTTCGACCTGGTTTTCTCATGGTAGTGTGCAGGTCAAAGGAACTGACATGGAAAAAGCATGGAATAGTAAACCAGTAGACCATGCTGCTACTGTCTGTGTGCATTAAAGATTTCTCGAAGATTATAAATTGAAAAAGAGTAAGCTTAGACTACGCTGCTGTCAATGGAGTTCAATTCAAGCTGCCTGTGTCACTTTTTGAAATGAAAACCACAAGACTTGATCATCTGCAATGAAAGAAAAACCAAACACGCATGACAGTTTAGTATTTGGGTCATTATTACCATTCTCGCTATTATGGGACCTAATATATGACATATGTATTTGTTTTCAATTTGTACCAAAATTTGAATATATTCCAGGTAGCTGATTGTGTTTGTCTGATGTCTATGGATCAGGCAGGCTCTATCCCAGTAGATACACATGTATGGCAGATAACAGCTCGACATTATATACCTAAATTACAAACTTCTAAATCTTTAACAGTTAAACTCTATCAAGAAATAGGTCAGTTACTATAGTCATTGAAACCAGCATACCGTGATGACAATTTTGACGTTGTGGGTTGCAAGTGCATTCTTTCAACTAGAAGATGACTTACTATAATGTTCTGTTACAAGTGATCTTGGCATCAATTATGATCACTGATAATAACAAAGTTCTTGCCGTTTGAACCTTTATTCATTGAATTAAACATATAATTAAACATGTTCTCTTTTAAAGGGACAGGTGCTCAATTTTTAGGGGTTGATTTGATTCTTGAATATATGTAAATAGTCTTCAGAAGTACTAGAAATGTACAAAAATCACACAATTCCTTTAAAAATATCTCAAACTAGAAATTTCTTTTCCTATTTCTACAGATGTCTTTTCTATATATGGCAGTGTCTCGAGATGAGTCATCTTTTTAACTTTCAAACACGGATAATTCTGCACACATATGGATTTGAAGACTTAAATTTCAACAGTGAGCTGTGAACACTATTACTAATTGGCATAAAAAATTCCTGTTTCTGAGGCTAAAGTATGATTGGTCAAAAAAATGGCACAAATATCCCTTTAAATTTGCATGAAAGAAAACAAATCAGCAGTGTTCTGTAATGTATTGTAATTTGATATTTCTGTGACTGTTTTCAGGTGACTATTTCCGAGAACTATGGGGTGAATACGCTGGATGGGCACATTCTGTAAGTTTTCTTTTCCTCTTAGAATTCTCACTTAGTACAAAATTGATCTATCACCTAAACACACTTCAGAAAGTTCATTAGGCTGATGCCTAATAGAAGTAAGCACATGTAATGTTGTACCATACATGAACATGTTTATAATGTCATCATTAATAGAGGATTTTAAACGAATGCTTTGGCATATGAAATTTAAGTTGCTATATTTAATATTCCCTGAGGGCAGGAATGGATTGGTGCTGGGGCTCAGATTTTGAACTCAGAAAATTTGTAGAACTCATTTCTGGTAATTTTGTGGTGCCGTATGTCTTTTTGATTTTGTACAAAGACACAGTAAATGAATCAATCTCTGTTAAACTGAAGAAGATTTTGCTGGGGCTTAATTCTGACTTGCTTGGGCCCAGCTACCACGGGCCCCACCCTAACGACGGGGCTGTCTTGGTGAGGGAAGTATCTAATCTGGCAAAGAATTTCATAAATTTCATATCACATAAGCTCAAGTGAAAGATTCTATTCAAACAACTATCAATAAACACCTTTTAGCACCTGCCAAAACAATTTTTGAAATTTATGCATCTGGGAATTCATGTCCTTTTCAAAAACAAATATTGGTGAACACATGATTCTCATAAATATTCAATATACATACTTAAAAATGATAACCCGCATTTTCAAAACTGATTCCTGATGAGGGTTGTGTCTTAAACATATACTTAGCTTGCAGAAAAGATCAGATCTAGTCATTCAATTTGGGTCAAGATATTTATTATTTTTATCTTTGTTTGCCAGGTTCTTTTTACAGCTGATTTGAAGAAATTTAAAGTTAAGAAAGAGAAAGATACTCAGGTATTTTATTTCCTCAAGACTTAATTTCTTTTGTTCAAAATGTCAACTAAAAAATTGGTTCTGTTTTCTTTAAACCACATTTATTCCATAAAGTCTGGTTATTAAAGCCTTGCATATTATTTGGGACTGTGCCGATAACGTCTCAAAATACAACAGACTATGTAGTCCCTAGGTTCCTGAGTGAAAAGAAGTCGGCAGATACATGCAAAGAAGAAAATAATTTTGATATCATATCGACTTCCTTTTTCCATTGCATAATAGTATTTTTCATTTTTTTTTTTTACAGGAAAAGAAACCAAGCAGTAAGATTATTAAGAATATCAAGAACTGATTGAAATGGTAATCTAAAACTTGCTGTTTTTTCTCATTTATTCAATAAATTGTTGAGAATAAACCACATGAAATACACCATTTTCTAACTTAACTACTGTTTTTGTCATCTTTCATGGATGTACAGAGCTCAATAAAAAGCTATAAGTGTTTATTTACATCCATTTGAGGGATGGGGGCATCCAACAGGAATATCAAGTGATGTTGTTGGAGAGTTATCATGAATTGTGTTCATTTTTAACTGCCCTTCATCAACACAACCCTATTGCTAGGGCCTAGGCAAAAGAGAATTTAGCCCCAGCAAGAAATCATTCTCTTTTCTGAGATCAATGGGATTATTATTCTTAAAAATTTGTAGGCCCATTCACACCTTTATGGGGGCCATATTACATCATAATTTAAAATTGTATATCGTGGGTGACTGCTTGAAATCTCAAGCCATATTTGGTCGTTTTGACTTTTTGTTACAGTTCGAAAGCTCGTAAAAAGCACGGATCTTGTGATTAAAACCTTGTATTCTTATCTAGATTGTAAATAACCAAAAACCACTAATTAAATAGCATTGTCAGATTTAAAACCTCGTAAAATATTATATTATACGAGCCACGAGGTTCAATGTTCCTTTTCTGAACAAACGAAAAAGCTCGTATTCTTTACTATTACTATTATATGAGTTATTGGTTGAATAGCCCAGAGTATTTGGATTGTTAAGAATAATCACGTATGGCGGTAAAAATAATAATAAAAAATATTTTAACAATACCCATACAAATATTTTTTTTGGCGTTTTTCTGGAAAACTAATTTCGCGTCATATATTGTTATACGAGGTTTCAAGTGGCCATCTACGATATAATAATTAATATGTTTGAAATCCGGGCAGGATCGTAAAGCACAGAAGATAATTTTCAATGGTGAATTAGGGCAGTTCACAACTTCAAAAAATTATTATTAGGTTGGCAGAACTGGTTTTGCAAGCCCTTCATACAAAATCACCAAGATTGATCGATTGCCACAGCATCTAGTTTTACTAATATCCTTGGGGGAGAGCCTCCACCATTGGTGAAGATAGAAACTCACGATATTTGCTTTACCATTTGATAAGGGCTCAATCTCATTATCCAGATCTGAAATGTACATCTAACTTCAGTGCACTCATTGATATGAAAAAAAAATAATTGCAAGAAATTTATATCTTTAGCATTTTATTGTTACACACCAACTTTGAATAATCTAGACAAGAGGTAGCTTAGTATTCATCTCCTCCCTCTTCTTCTCCTTCGCCTTCAACAGAGTCCACACCAACTTCTTCATAATCCTTCTCAAGAGCAGCCAAATCTTCTCTAGCTTCAGAGAATTCACCTTCTTCCATACCTTCACCAACATACCAGTGGACGAAAGCTCGTTTTGCATACATCAAATCAAATTTATGATCAAGGCGAGCCCAAGCTTCAGCAATAGCAGTAGTGTTGCTCAACATGCAAACAGCTCTCTGGACCTTGGCTAAATCACCTCCTGGTACAACAGTTGGTGGTTGGTAGTTGATACCGACCTTGAAACCAGTAGGACACCAGTCAACAAATTGGATGGTTCTCTTGGTTTTAATAGTGGCAATGGCGGCATTGACATCTTTGGGAACAACATCACCTCGGTACAACATACAGCAAGCCATGTATTTACCATGTCGTGGATCACATTTGACCATCTGGTTGGCTGGTTCAAAACAAGCATTAGTGATCTCAGCAACTGACAGTTGTTCATGGTAAGCTTTCTCAGCAGAAATAACTGGAGAGTAAGTGGCCAATGGGAAATGGATACGTGGGTATGGTACCAAGTTGGTTTGGAATTCAGTAAGATCAACATTTAAAGCACCATCAAATCGGAGTGAAGCAGTGATTGAGCTGACAATTTGACCAATCAATCGATTCAAGTTGGTGTAGGTGGGTCTCTCAATATCCAAATTTCTTCGGCAGATATCATAAATAGCCTCATTATCTACCATGAAGGCACAATCAGAATGTTCCAAGGTAGTATGGGTTGTTAAAATTGAGTTGTAGGGTTCAACAACAGCAGTAGATACCTACAAAGAGATACGTATAATATAGCAAGATTCCAAAAACCTAAAAGTATCAAATCTCTAAATGACATCTCTGCCTCTTCAGTGACCTTTCTTACTTTGCTCAGACACCCTCAAGGACACAATCCACAAACAATCTTGAAATCAATTTTGCACTAAGTATGGTATATTTCTCAATGAATAATTAATTCCACTCTCAGTACAAATTATTGCCATAAATTTTTTTTTTTAAACAGAGCTTCGTTAATAAACTTGTCCTGGACAGAAATTATCTCCTTGTGGCAAGTGAACTTTATCTTGAAATACAAAATATTTACATGTCAAATAACAAAATAAGTTACGTACCTGTGGGGCAGGGTAGATAGCAAATTCCAACTTGGATTTTTTGCCATAATCAACAGATAATCTTTCCATCAACAAGGAGGCAAATCCAGAGCCAGTACCACCACCAAAACTGTGGAAGATGAGGAAACCTTGAAGACCAGTACATTGATCAGCCTAAAAAGAGAATAATCAAAGAATTTAAGATTCACAAATGAAGTTCATTCTAAGTTTATCTGACAATAAGTAAATGTTGTAAAATGAAGTAGTATGGATCTTGCATGTTTTCTTCTATCCAATTTCTTAAATAGATCTGAAAGTTGTTCAAATTTGATATATTTTTGCATTCTAGTTTAATAACTAATTTTCAAGATCACTTACCAATTTCCTGATTCTGTCTAATACCAGGTCAACTATTTCTTTACCAATAGTGTAATGACCTCTGGCATAGTTATTGGCAGCATCTTCCTTGCCAGTAATAAGTTGTTCTGGATGGAACAGTTGTCTGTAGGTACCAGTTCGGACCTCATCTGAAATAATCATCACAATTTGTAATTCATAAAATTAATGCATTAGATGAGATATTGCTGTGCTCATCTTCGCATTTTGGAAGTTTAAATCATTTTTAATAATTAGATCTAAATAATCGAGTTTCATTATATAAATCTTTTAAAATATTAGATCTAGAGTAAGATGATGTTGATTTATAATTATAAGCTTACCCAAATTGGAAATTTTATAAGAACAACAAGGATCTCATTCTAAAATAAACTGTACCCACCTACAACTGTTGGTTCCAAATCAACGAAAACAGCTCTTGGAACATGTTTACCAGCTCCAGTTTCACTGAAGAAGGTGTTGAATGAATCATCTCCACCTCCAATAGTTTTATCAGAGGGCATTTGACCATCAGGTTGAATACCATGTTCTAAACAGTACAACTCCCAACAGGCATTACCAATCTGAACACCAGCTTGTCCAACATGAATAGAAATACACTCACGCTGAAAAATTAATATTTTAAAATGGAGATCTACAACAATGAAGTGTCATGATGTCAACCAGTCCAATGACATTGGATCCATAGATCTAGATTACTATACAGATATTAGGCCTACTATTTTGTGTTATTTTTCATTCACAAGCCTGGACCTATATTTGATCTTGATCATTTCTGCAATTTCAACAAATTTGCCGGTCATGACTGACCAATCAATAGAGTATGCACACAAATTCGAAAAAAGAGTCCGCAGGGAGCAGAGCCGTAGCAAGACTCGCAGTCACAGCAGTACCGGAGCCAAAGATAAAACCAGGAGGTTTTCATACTTACCATTTTGTAAAATAAACGTTGCCTTGGATTTTCTCAAAAGAAAATTAAAATATGCGGAGAGACGTTGAAACGAGACCGTCAAGGTAGCCTACTTCAACTGGAATGACGAACTTGTTTGAATTTTTTTATGACGTAAAATACAACGTGACGCAAAAGAAACGTAATCAAAGACGATTTAAGCGGGAAAAAGAAAAGTACTATTGGCGTTGTAGAAATTTCTCTTTTTCAAAATCATTTCACCTGATGAAAGTTGGTAGAATAAAATACTTTAGTCACTCTTAAAAGGTGTCTTCTTATATCCTTTATTATGGGAATTTGTTTGTTGTTTTGACGATATTTACAGTACTTTCCAAACAACGGCTGGAGAAGGGTTAGAAAAATATGTCCATATTTTCAAGGATAACCCAAAAAAATGAGCCCAAATAAGCAAATTGATCTAATAATAGAAATATTGCTCATTTCCCTTCATTTGGATCTCATATATGAGACTTTTAAAAAAAAATTAGAAAGTTTTCGAATAAAAACTCAAAAGCAATTCATTTGACTAAACCGAAAATACGTAAGCTATATCCTTTGAAGTATACAAGCTATCAAACTGGAATTAACAGGGATTATCCAAAAATGTCTTGCTTAGTTCAAATGGGCATGTAAGTGTAAGCAGCACCACTAAAAATGGCGGAGAGTGCCTAAATGAATATATTATGTGCCTTATGGAAAAATCACTGTGCCTTAAAAATGTCATTTTGTCGAATATATATAATGAAAATGTGATTAAAGGTGCTAATGCGAAAAAGAGAAATTCTATCGAAATGTAGAATGACAATATTCAAGCATGTTTCGGAGCCCTGTGTTGTTTGAATGGGGCAGTTGACTGCAAGATATCTGGATGATAAAGACCACAAATTTATGAACTATGTCTGGATGATCAGTAACAAAGGTGACGTCATCTTGCAGCGCCACCTACCTTATTTTCAGCCATGTGTAATATAAGGAAATTTGACAGATAAAAACAATGATAATATTTCCATTTTGAAACGCATAATGAACCAATTCATAATAAAAAGGTATGGTTTGCATTTAGCCCACATACTCACAGATTCTATCGTTGTATTAAGAGATAAAAGTAACGTGTATTTTTGGAGAATGATGTCCGAGGGAACATTTAATTTTATTATTATGATGTTGAAAATATAAATAAACAAGACTGTCGCCTGTCAAATTGAGTGTACAGTAGCATGAGGAAAACAACAACAACAACAACAACCATGCTGATGTTGTTAAAACAAAATTGAGGAAGCGTTTATAATTTTTCCTCCCTTATCTTTCCATTGCTCTATGTTATTTGCTCTTTTGTGGGTTTGACCTGGATGGAATCAGGAAAACATTTGAACTGAAGTTTCCGTCCATGATTATGACATTTGATTTTGAGTGAGTATCTGTTGAATGTTTATGCCAGATATTTTTAGTAATATTCATGGTTGTTGTTAGATCTATTTAATTTAGAATAGTAAATTTTTCCACATTACGCTATCTTATTTTGCAAATCATTTTTACATGAAATAAAGACCCAAGACTTTACTTTACGGAAGAACTTTCCAATCTGAAAAATGGGACTTTTTGGCATCTGTTTACTTCAGATATAGCCACACCTTTTGTTTGTTTGTAATACAAACCCTTTGGTAATAAGCAAATTTCCTTCTGTGCACACTTCAGAACATTGCTTGTCTTCATGATTTTTTGTGCTACTGGTACTCATTATAACAAAACACAAGACAATATTATGGAATACAACACACTTTTTTAATAAGGTTAGGTACATAATGTTTCAACACAATATCAGATGTACATCTGATGACGACACGTGTATATTGTGTTGAAGGCAATTAACGACACATGTATATTGTATTGAAACGTTATGTGCCTAATGTCGTTCAAATCTTACTGGTACTCAGTACAAACAAATCAGTTTAATTTTGGTTTTTTGAAATTATATATATTTGTATTGCAGTGAAGAGGAATAAGATGTGTCAAGATAGTAGTGATGTATAAGTTAAAATGGAGGACACAATAAGTCGGGAATCAGTTGATTCGTCTTCTACCTCCGATGAATTTGTTGTTGTGAACGCTGACCCCAAGTTTAAATTGACTGGTGATATGAACGATATTGATAAAGAAATTTGTGCTGAACCAGTTTCAACACCAGATATTAAAATGGATACCAGTATTACTGATAGTAATGTGGGCCATGCCATGCCTAGTAGTCAATCGGTTGATGTTTTGCTACCAGAAGGCACTGTTGAAAATAAGAGTTATCAAGATAATAATACACCCTTGGAGTATGGGTCGCCTGATTCTTTCCCAAGTAAGTCAGGGAGTTAAAGGGATAAGTTTACTTCTTCTAAATATTGGTTTGTGCAAATTGAAGGCTTAGTGTCAAAAGTTGTTTTACATTTTTGTATGTTGTATTAGCATTTTTACACAGTTGAAAAATCAATGATATAAGCTCACTGATGCTACAGACATACATACATACATCCACATTTTAATAAATCTAGTTTCACTTTTGAATACAAAAATGCCTGTGTTTTAACACTTGTGATTGTTTTCTATTTTAGGAATTTCTCTTGTTGACGTAATTTCTTAATATTCTAATATTAGTTTTTTCGAAAATGCAATTTTGAATAAGGGTGTTGTGTTGAAATATGGCAGTATACTGTATTGTTTTGACAACCACATACAATCCAACCACCCTGTAGACAAAGTAGGTTGGTCCAAATAGGGGGCACAACTCTTGTCAGATATGACATTCATGTTTTGTAAAGTGTTAAAACATTTTTTCTCCAAAAGTGAAACTAGAATTCTTGAAATGTGGATGTATGTATATTTTTAGCAACACAATGGTATTCCTGTAGCACCCTGGTTCAAAACCTATGATGTTTTTATCCCCTGGGGGTGCTGGACTAGGGTGTCAGGGGTGTGTCCACTGGTGTAGGAGAAGAATTTACTTTTAGTTGACTTGAGAGAGCACCTCACATCATCACATGCTGCAAATGTGGGGTGAGAAAGGTTCATCTGATTGCTCCAGTCTGAAATAGGTTGGGAACCACTGCGTAGCATCATTAATTTTTTCGCTGTGAAGCACTTAATTGAAAAATTAAAAAAAACTTTTTACTTTGTTTATACAAAATTTGTTTTCTTTAATTGTCAAAAGACCCAAATTCAGAAAGTTTATGGAAAATCATTGATAGCTTTATTTAGATTATAATTATGTGTTCTCTTCTTTGCTTTTTAGAATGTAATAGATCAACTTCAATGCCGACTTTTCCTTCTGGAGATTGCACAGTATTTAATGGAGTTACCTACCTTGGTTGTGCTATTGTTAATGCTCCAAGAAGTGAGGTGGAGATATACCGTAATATGGCTATCATGAATGATCAGACACAGATGGCTATACCTATAGTATTGTCTGTACCTAGTACATCAGAAGGTGTTGTCAGGTGAGTTAAAAGGCCTGGTGACCCATTAGTAAGAGAATTTTTACTGTTTCTATGCTGAGGAAAAGTTTGTTCTTTTTATCTCCTGATTATAACATGGTCTTGAACCCTTCTTTTTGATTTCCTTTTTTTATATTATTTTAATTTTGAACCATGATAATTTACAATGCCGAAATATTCACAGCTAAAAAAATCTGTCAACTTCTAATATTTGGGTTGCATTCACCTTACTTTTTTATTATTTTTTTCCCCTGTTATCCCAATGAACTGCCACTGGGATATTACAATATCTATTAAATCTTTCCGCTATACTTTTCTCCATCATATGAAACTTTAGATATTCGAAAATTATAGTATATTAGTCTAAATATTTGATTTACCAGTGGGTAGCAGTCAAATTTAACCATCTGTATCGCTTTTCAGAGGTGACCTCAATTGAACAGAAATTTACTGTGAATTTTTAGATTAACTTGAAACTCAGGCCTATTTGCAGTAACCACTATGATGCCATATAAAAATGACAGTAACTAAATATATATGAAAATTTAAAATAGCCTGGATGTGGTGACAAAAACGTTTATTGTAAATTTGTAGCTGAACTATTCATAAAATTTTGATAATGAAAAGTGTTACAGATAAGGGTTAAAGATGGTCAAGGTTATATTTATGTGGAGATGAAAGGGATTTCAAAATTGATTAAAAGTATGCATGAAATAGACATAAGCTTATAAAATCTAACATTGGCATGGTATGATAAGATTTTGCATGAAAATACATGTTTAAACTCACACATTTTGAATTAGTGCTCAAATGAATAGGATAAATTAATGGCAAATACAAATAGCAGAAATGTGTAGCTGGAAGTCCATTCTATATCGACTATACTTAGATGTCCCGAATCTCTATTTGAATCCAAAATTGACACAAAGTGTCCTGTACATAATACTATGTTGCTTCAGAATCAAATGTCAAATATTGTTAGCTATGTGGACTCTTGAAAGGGATGCCTCAATTGCAGTGAGCACACCCTGCCTCTCTTGGTTTTTTAAAGTTAAGGAATACTACCTCTTAGAATGAACATGACATTTAAAGTCTCAAACTTGGCTAATAAGAGTGTTGTATTCATCAGTAGACTTACCTGGTGTCATAATTACACAACAGAACCCTTGATTAGAATGATGATTGAACGATTTTCTATAATAACCTTTAGTTTTATGTATAACTATCAAATTATAGAGGGAATCTGTATACATAGTTATGACACCAAATAAGTTAACTGATGAATATAAACTCATATTGGCCACAATTAAAAATTTGTTGGTCATGCCAATAGGTAGTATTCCTTTAAAAGTGAGTGTACTGATAATAGTTATCAATTTGACTCCAAAATTGTAGATATCTACAAGACAGGGATAATTCCAATGAATAATGTTTGAGCACTAGATTTAGAAATATTTTTATATATAAATGTGTTTTGATTTCCCTTTGTTTTCAGTCAATCTGAAGGAAATGTTGTTAGGTACTGTACCATTAATATCTTCAGTTTCTATTTCTAGTTATGTTTATTTTGTTATGGGATGCTTACAATTATCTTTCTGCATGCTTTTATGTGGTGGAAGACTCTTACTTATGTATTCTGGTTTAAATTTTCTGATATTAAACTGAAAGGGACATTGGCTGTCTAATACTTTGCTTTTTCTGTTCTTTAAACTATAGTTCATCTATCCATGTCCCTTTTCAGATTGAAAATCTGATGCCTGGTTTGTTCTCCAATTAGTAAAAATGTACCAGTGTATGCAAAAAGATTCAAATTTCTTGTCCATTCTCACACATAGTTAATACACCAATTGATGACCATCATAATATTGAAATAAGTGAAAATCAGCAACCCTTCTGTTGAGCTCTATATCTTTATTTTATTTGAAAGGATACAAGAACTTTATCATTGTTAATTGTCGTTGACGTTCTCTACACCAAATTTATATTTTCAGTATATTTTGTGTTTGTTATGATCTGTGGTTGCGTATTTAAGTTTTGTTGCTTTTTATATTTATACCTTCTATTTTGCGCTTGTTCTGAAATGGGAACCCATTTTAAACTTTAAAAATTGATTAATTTCTGTATAATTGTTCCCAAGTTATTGTTAAATCTGTGAAGAATTTTTTGTAACATGATAGCCTATTGAAATTTCTAGGAGTGAAATGTGTTTATTTTCAATGTAAACTTACAAAAAATTAAAATTTTTATCAACACAAAGACATTTTAAGACTAACAGTAATATTCCAATTCTTTGCACAGACAAAAGCTCACTTCTAAATTTTTATTTTTTTTAAATTTTGGTCAAAATTTTATCGTATTTATCAACCGATCAGACATCTTCTCAATGTCAAGTTATAACAAACTTCTTTCTTATACCTTGACTGCAACAGCCACCTTTCTTGTTTCTTGGATGCAGCGATTTAATTTGTTTGAACGCTAGAGAATTCAGAAAATCTGATTGTTAACATACTATCTGTCGAGAGCTCTGATAGGCTGTAATTGGTGTAAATTTACATTTACAAACTTCCATGATATAAAAAAAGGTGGCTATTGCAGTCAAGGTATAAGATGCAGTTCGTGTTAGCTTGACACTGTGAAAAGGTTATCAGATGACTAGATAACTTTTATCATTTTTCGAGAAAATGACCCTACAAACACATATTTATTAAAATAAAAACATGGTCTATTCAAGTTCTTACATTGTTAAAAGTTCTTATATTTCACAAATTTGATTTTCATAATGTAATGTATTTTAGAAGGTTTTGTATATATTTCAGACTATTGGACCCATCAAGTGACAGTGAGATTGCTAGTTATAGAATTCATAGAATATTATTCTGTGCTCGAGGTCCAGCTGACAGCAATGAAAAGAAGTGCTTTGCATTCACATTTAGTTATGGTGATACTGCTGAGTCAGCTATATTTCAGTGCCATGTTTTTAGATGTGATCTAGCAGAAGCAGTAAGTTTCTTTGATAAATTAACATAAGATTTCAAAATAGCATTGGTAACATCTTCACAATGACAAGTTATTACAAACTTCATCTTATACCTTTACTTGTACCAGGAAAGATTGTGAATGCATCGATTTGGATGGACTGTACATCATTTGTCCTCATTTGTAATTACTAATCATTGTGTTTGTTTGTTTTCGAAATATCTATTCCTTTTTTTTTTTTTTCGAAATTTACACACCTTCCTGTGCTTAGACTGCAGTAGTTGCAGCAACCATTCAACTTTCCTAGACCTTCTGTAGTGGCAACGTGTTGCATAAATATAAATTGGAACATTTTTGCAAAACCGGAAATGCCACAGTCTAATATGTGCAAAAAGTAGAAAATCGGACCTAAAAGTCGCATTTTCCGGTCGATTTTCTTCGGGTTTTTATTTCTGGAATCTACGTGTAATTTCTGATATAATAGCACTTAAACAAATTCGAAATTCGAAAATTTGTCGCACACTTTTTTCGGCCGAATTTTGCAATTTTTTAACAAAAAAAAAAACTTTTTAGCTTTTTGTCTGATTAATCTAAAAAAATTTGAGCAAAGACAATTCATGAACATGAACAAAATTGTATAGTCAAATTTTTTACTTTACTTCCGGTTTAAACGGGAAATCGATTCTCACTTCCGGTTGAACTACTTCCGGTGTAATTAATTTAGCGCGACGAAACTTATATGAATCGATAGCCAAAGTTATGACAAAAAAACGAAGAATATAAAATCCGGTCCGAAGGTAATACCTTGGTCGCCATTTTGATTTTTCTGAAATGCGTCAGAATCTATTCAGAGATAACGGCTTATCCGATTTTGATGATTTTGGTGTCAAATGAAAGAAAATAAAAATTAAAAAAAAACTGTGGGACCCGATTTTTGAATTTCTCTTTTGCTTTTTTGCAATTTCCAATTGAATTTTTTCGAAGTTTGAAGGCTCATATTTCATGACCTTGACCGTTGCTGACCTTGACCTTCATTGGGTCAAAGGTCATTGACCTTGGCTATCAGCTTATACTTTCATATTCGATCTCTGATATCTACTTCCGGTTGTATGGCTGTCTCAAAACAGGCAAATTCGCAACTTTGGACTGCTCTAGCACCTGACCTAATTAACCTAGAGAGTTAATTTTTCCGGATTCTTAATATGCTCTTCATACTCTAACGATATATAACAAAATTGGAATTCGTACTTTTTAGATATTTGAGTGTTTTTGACAATATTTTTGTCTCTTTGAGCTTAGTGTATGTATATCTTGTGACCTATTTGATGTAGAAGCTTGAAATTTGGAACACTACTAGACATGTTGAAAATGAATTAAATCATGACTAAAAAGTTCAGGTGGGCGTGGCACATCTGGGTTAAATTGCTAATTGTTCAAATCTCGGGCAGGGACATAATTCGCATAGTTTACATTTGTTTAAAAAGGGACTTTGCAAACAATTTCTTCACCTCTTTGGCCATATTGTGTTAATAGATCAGTTGTTTCAGCTTTATAGTTCAAAAAAAGGAACGGGTTTAAACATTTGCATATTTTCATTTTTCAATTTTGACCTTTGTTGACTTTTGTTGACCTATATCTTTTAACCTGTATGATGTAGCAGCTCGACATTTGGAACACAACATAACATTTTTAATATCAATTAACCTACGCAAAAAAAAATGAAGTGGGCGTGGCACATCCGGTTTAAATTACTCATAATTGACATTTTTGGCCAGGAGCATAACTCCAGTATACATTTGTTCAAAACGGAATTTTTCATACAAATATCTCATATTTTGAGCCACTTTGTCCTAGAAGTTTGGTTGTTTCCGCTTCATAGTTCAAAAATAGGAACAGATTTTGAAAATTCAAAATTTTCAATTTTTGACCTTGACCTTTGTTGACCTTGACCTTTGTAGGATCAAACGTCATTGGCATTGGCTATCTATTTATACTTTTATATTTGCCGTCCTATGTCAACTTCCGGTTTTATAGTCGTGAGCAATTTGAAATTTTGATGACGTATATCTCTTGATCTTGACCGTTTTAGACCTTCTCCTTTACAAGATCAAAGGTCATTGACATTGGCTACCTGCTGATACTTTCATTTGTGAGGTCTGACGTCTACTTCTGGTATTAGAATCTTCTAAAAAATGAAAATTTCTCAACTTTAGACTATTCTTGCACTTGATCTAATTATCGTCGAAGGTTTTTTCAGGGTCTTTTGCAATTTGCTACATTTGCAAAGTCCCACTCTGTGCCACGTGTGGCTCTAGTTTTATTATTGTAATTACTAAACCACAATGTTTCCAATCTGTCAAGATCTTTAATTGGCTGTATTTGCTGTGATACAAGAAATTTGACTATTGCGGTCAAGGTATAAGAGGAGGATTGTAGTAGTGCCGATGATTTTCTGCGATCGCGGAACGGATGGAAATCACGGAATTCATGATGCGAAACAGAATTGTCCTTTCCATGCATATTTTAATTTTTTGGAAATAAAATGGACTATTTTTACTACTAGGCCTACACCAAATTCATACGATTAAAAAATGTTTGAAACTGCGAGCGACACGCAAAGCAAAGAAATTTACAACAGAGTTGAACTTGTTTTGATGTACATTGTTTGATAACATAATTATTTAACTTTAGGTTTCGAGCGTGTTCAATATGCTGTTCTCTTTCTCTTCAGTGCATAGAATCAGGCCAGCAAATAGAACACATTCAAAACCGGAGGTTGCGACGGTCTATTTTGTTAATCATGTACGGAAGCTGATGTTGTAACAATGTCTCTGATTGGTTCAGACATGCCATTTTAACGAATCAAATTACCTCAAAGAGAAAATGCTTTCCCGTCACCCAAAATGGCGTCATTAACAACGAACGATACCATCCATGATCAAAATGCCCCTCTAAAGAAAAAAAAAGAACATCAGTAAATGCTTTTCTCGAAGGAAACCGATGTCCAAACGGAATCTACAAATTCTGAAACGGAAAATGCTTATAACTGAAACGGAAAAACATTGGCACCCTAGCTTGACACTGTGAAGAAGGCATTTGTATGTGTATCAAGGACACAATTAGAATTTGAGCAATTTGTAAGTACTCTTTTTGAATTGGGTGCTGAAAATGACAGATGGCATATTAAGATTTGGTCTGCCATGATTTATTTTGTAATGGTGCTAAGTGATGTATTTTTTAGGTGCCAAAGATATTGTATTGCTTTGCTACAACGTTTCGAAGAGTCCCAAGAACTTCACGTACCATTTCAACCAGTAGCTTACAAGAAGCTGAACAGAACTATATCTTTACTGTGGGTATTGAGTTTAAAGAAGATGATGGCAAGGGAAATTATAACGCCTGCCCTAAAGATAAAAATATCTTTAAGTTTAAATCCAATGTGGAGAAACGTATAGCTATTACTGTACAACAAAATGGTCCCACAGATCTCAGAATTGAGAGGTAAGAATTTGAAAAAAATAAAATTTCAATCAAACATTCCTATCTTCTATTTCAAAATAAACAAGTAAACATTTCTAATGATAAGAATAACTAACTAGAATTGGTTCAGTTATTAAACTTGGGTCATAATTAGACTATAGTCTGCAATTAGTTTCATCTCTTCTAGTTCCAAATTCTTGGGAACAGTCATAAATCCATAAATCAATCAAAAACTTATCCTGGACAAGAAAATGAGTTTTTTGGTGAAAAAATCAAATCAAAAATACAGATTTTAGCATTAGATATGTCCATTCCTCAAGACCGTGATAATACAAATGAGAGAGAAATTACATATTCATAGATAAATATTGTCCAATTAAAATTGGCCCTACTGTATTGGTAGCAAAATTTCAGCGAATCAAAACAAATTATTCGTTTTGACGCTTTGTTTGTCAATGTTAACAAAACAGTGTGCCGTTACATATTTTGATGAATAAGAACGCTACAGAATTCAGTCAGATTTTCGGTAAGGAATTGAAGCCGAGAGAAAATCAAACCTTACTTTTGAATATTTACATGGAAAGAATGTGTTCTTATCTCTTCGAAGCGGCAAAGCGATGATGTGTTTTGTTTACATCTTTTCCGTTCTACCGATGTGATTGGTCAGATTTAAATAGCTACCAATCCCAATTCCACGTCCTCAAAAGTGTAGTGGGATTAGTTAATACGGGTAAATAAGACCATGTCAAAACCCGTATTTGTGATTGGATGGTTTTATCATTCATTAGTGTTTTTTAGTTTGCTGAATAAGATCTATTTCAATAATATTTTTCTAGATGTTTTGGATTATTGATATCACAAGGAAGAAATGTAAAACACAGTGATATGCAGTTGATTGAATTGGTAAGCTTGACTAATGTCTTCTCCTCTCTCCCTAGTTCCCAGTATCATGGTGCTACTATTGATCTAGTCTTTCATTCTCTAACTTGGAATGCATGGATAAGTGAACAAGATAATTCACCAAAGGAATGCCAAAGGACTTGCTGGAAAAGCACGCGAAATGCTTGATATGTAATGTTTTTTAAATATTTTTGGCGTTTTAAGAATTAAAGGTTGGATTATTTTAGTTAAAAGTTTCAGATAATTAAAGGGCACATTTCTCTAGATTTTGGCGTGTGGTTTTCACAAATTTGAGCTAAAAACAATTTTGACCTACAGAAAAAACGGAAGGTCCCTTCTAATGATTAATGTGTAGCAGGAAGAAAATATTATGATTCACAAACATCCAAAGTGATCTTTCAGGATAAATAATGTCACAAAATCTGTATTTTGTTAGAATTAAGCTAAGGATGAATTCCAAGGGCATTAAATAACAAACATTTCCATCCCATTGGAATTGCTCTACTTCATAGATAATGTCAGCTTTTAGGCTTTGACATACAGTTGGACAAGGTATTTGCTAGTAACTGAGTAATGTTTTATCTGTTAAAGGTATCAATGGGATATCAAAATGAAGGTAAAAGTTATTCTATAACAGGACATTGGGATCCTACTGAACAGTGTTTTGCTGTTTTGAATACAGAAACACCAAAAGGTAAGAAACACATCCTTAACTTGTTGGTATTTTGTCCCAGAATATTTACATGGGAACTTTCTTAGATCTTGTAACAGGTAAAATGTATAGGCTGTACACAGTCCCTACTTTTCTGCTCCAAGTTGGGCAAATAATGCAACCCCATTCAGTTTGCATTAAAGAAAAAGTTTTTCGAGAAGGTAGCATTAGCCCTTTTCATATGCCCAACATGTAGTAGATGGACTTTGCACAGTTTTTACTTTTAGTCTTATGTGAGATGTAACCATTTTATCTGGGTGATGTCTTTGATTAGGAAAACGTGCTTAAATATTTGTAAAATAGGGAGAGATGTCTTTGAATGATGTAGATGAAAAAATGTGATTTTGAAAAAATTTATTTGTTGCATACTTTTTATACGCCCACATTATAATGTGAACAGTTTTTAAGTTATTGCCCTTGACTTAGTAAAAACGCATCAAAATTTGTTAGCTTGTTAACCTGATGACAGTTTATGTCAGAAGTTTATCAAATTTTGTGTGTTTGTTTAAATGAACAATATCTTACTAGGCAACCGCTTGTTTTTCATTTGAGAGCTGAAATTGATTTTGACTGGGCACTACCAAAATTGTGTGAGGATGCGACAATTGCCCATTCTAGGCAATGAAGTACAAAGGTCTCAGTTTATTGTTCAACTAAGTCCTAGAAGGATTAGGTGTTTGTAAGGTTCTATAGCACATTCGTTTAGAGCACTTGTTCTTTACATGATGTCATTTGATAATAATAATAAATCTTTATTATCCCAAAGGGGCAATTCATTTATAACAAGGGAGATCTCGGATACAAAAAAAATAAATAGGAACCACAAACAAATGAAACACAAACATAAATACAAACAGTACAAAGAATATATATATATATATATATATATATACAGTGACACGGTTATTGTTTATTCGAAAAAATGAAGTTTTCATCAGACCTGCCTCTAGAATTAAACTTTCGAATACTCAAGCTGATAAAAGAATAAAGGGCTCTGTTGCTTTTTGCAGAAAGGGCTAGAAATCTTTGACCAGAGGGTAGTGGGATGTAATTATCAGATAGAACATGTGTATAGTCATGGATAAGTTTATCAGTTTTCTTAATTAACTGGCTTTCAAACATTGCGTTTAATGATTTACATTGTGATCTAGTTAATTTGCTGCATATGTTGACAAAGATATCTTTACTCGGTTATGCTGAACAAATGGTGGCTGTAGGCTCCAATCTCAATCGGCGTGTAAAAATCCATGAAATAACCATGAATAAGTCATCTTCACTCATACTTTCAGTCAACCTAGCTGTAAATGGGTACGGATAATCTGGGAAAGTAACAGCCAGTAAAAAGGATCCTTTGTGAAACTAATTTGTTATCCGTGTAAAATATATTTGTTTCTTTCTGTCATTATCTGTAAGCTGAAGTATTTTTCAATCTGTGATACTAATTGTATTTCAGATACCAGAGTATTTTTAACAGTAGCTGTAGATTTAGTTATATATGGTATACAAGAACCAGTCAGATTTGCTATAGAAACTAAAGCTAAGATTTATTCCCAATCTGAAAGATTCTGGTATTTTTCTACTAAACCACATTATGAACAATATTACGTCAAACTGAAACAGGTAGCTGTTTTTTTTTATCACTTGCTTTCTTCTAAGTTTTCAGATCAGAGCTGTTTTTCCTATAAATGTGATTTTGTATGGGATCGATAAAGCATCACAAAAAAGGGAGAAAGTTATGCCAGATGCTTAAGCTTAACATACTGTAGCCAGGTCTGGGGTTCAATCTTGGCAATACTTGAGATAATACCTTTAGAGTTAACAGCCTAGTTCCACTATCAGTGATGAAAAATGTGTCATGGATGACACAGTCTGAGCATGTTTATACTTGACTGATAGAAATCAAAAGAGAGTAGGTTGTTGTCTTGGCATCATTTTCCTCATGATGCACTGCATGGCTTTGCCAGTCTTCAGTACTCCAAACAAGTTCAGAAAAGTGGGACATAAAACTCCATTCATTTCATTTCAAAACTTTCTAGCTTATGATTTTTGTTTGAGACAATCTGGGTTAAGGTGGGAATAGACGATGTACGGTCTCTGATGCGGTGTAGGTGTGGGATTATTGATACAGTAGAAAATAAAATAAACGAATCGTATCTTTGCGCCTAGTGTGTTCACTTCTTCAATTTTCATTTGTATCTTCGGATGGGACAATAAACCGAGGCCATGTGTGCTGCAGGCTGTGCATGTTACAGATCCCTCGACAGTTGGAAATCGAAAAAGAGCAGGCTAATGCCACTGTCCTGGCAAAATTTCCCTCATTGCACCCTGCATGGCGTTGCCTGTCTTCATTAGCCCACATGGTACAGAGTAGTAGTATTCATTTCATTTTTCATTTGTATCGATTATTATGCATACACTGCACCTCGTTTATCCAATAAATAATAAATAATTTGTGTTGAACATTTTAAACGTATTTGCACTATTCTGATCTTCCATCTAATAACTGTAGTTTCTGTATTCCCAAAAAAACTTGGACGATATTACCTGAAATTTTCTTTCTAATTCCATTGTTATAAATATGTATTTGGTTAGATTGAAGGTAATGAAAATGATGAAGGTCTATATGAAGTGGTCAATGTTGAAAGTCAAACAGAAGTTGAAAGAAAGAGTTCAGGACTGACCTTGAGTTTAAACCCTAATCGACCTATACCAGATCCTGTTCAAACACCACAGGATATGGATGAAGAGTCAGGTAAGACTTGTTCCTCAGATGCAAAGCTGATATTCTTGCTCTTCACATCATAAAAGGGAGCCGCGGTGGCTCAGTGAGTTAGACGCTTGCTTGCTAACCTGAAGGTGGAGGGTTCAAACCCGGCTTTGTTCTTGATGGATGGGACAATAAACCCAGACCCTCTGTGATACAGACTGTGTACGTTAAAGATTCCTCAACAAGTGGAAATCGAAAATGAGCAGGCTAATGCGGCTGTCCTAGCAAAATTTCCATCAATGCACCCAGCATGGCGTTGTCTGTCTTCCTTAGCCCAAATGGTGCAGAAAAGTAGGACGTGAAACTCAATTCATTTCATTTAATTCAGATGGTGATGAACCGTTGTTGAGTGGATCTGGTGTAGTGAGTAAAGAAATAACTGATGAAAATCTACTGGATGCTTGGCATGATGTCTTGACTAAATGGCATCAAAACTTATCTCAGAGACCAAAACAAGTTCATCATTTAGTACGTAAAGGTGTACCTGAGGCTTTACGTGGTGAAGTATGGCAGTTATTAGCTGGGGTACATGAGGGCAATGACTTATTAGAGACATACAGAATTGTCATTGGAAAGGTATTACTTTACTATTCTGTTGTACACTCAGGCATCTGTTTCTATCAATAGTCCACTCTCTCTATAATAGTATATGTAAGAGAAGGTGGCTAGGCTTGTCATGACCATCTCCGCTTCAGATGATTTTCTACCATTTACCGTAATGAGACATAATCCCAACCTTATATGAATCGTTTCATTGAATATTTTCCCTTCACACAAGACCTATTTTATATCTCCCTCTGTGTTCCTCTTCATGTTAATCTAACTTTTGATGAATAAAAAATACCAAAAATATTTACACCCATCATTTCGCCTGAAGAGGAGATGGTCGTGACAAACGTTAGCCACCTTCTTCTATATATACTATTATAGAGAGAGTCTACTATTGATAGAAACAGATCCCTGTGGTTGTTTGTGGCTGTTTTCGTTACATATTTCTTTCTGCTGCACAGTATTTAAAGGGATTTTCTTATCTAAATCTTTAGATGTCTGTTTGTTAGTGTCAAATTGTAGAAGAATTGTACATTTTGATTTTAATTATGATGACTCTTAAATATATTAATACAAAATATTTACAAAATGAAGGAAGACAAAATGGCGGACCCTCAACAGATCCTTGCGGTATTTTCGAAAGGGAAAAAAATTTATTTCACTGTGTATAGTGCGCACCCCTTCTGTAATAGGCCCATTTTGGGGTAAAAACTGTGCATTATATTCAGAAATGTACAGTATGTCCTTTATGGTTAAAAATTTTGCTGTGAATTTTAATTCTGTCATATATATTTCAGGAATCAGACCACGAGTCTGTGATTCAAAGAGATATTAATAGAACATTCCCTGCTCATGATTTTTTCAAGGATGCTGGTGGGTGTGGTCAAGATTCATTGTATAAAATTAGTAAGGTAGGTTGTCTTATAAATCTGGAACTAGGAAGCAAGTTGTATCGTCATTGGTAATAAGAAAAACAAATTAGATAGTTTAATCTCAAATATTTACATTTTTACATTTTGGAATCTTGGTTATTTCAAGCAATTGGTGGTCATGGGTTCTAATATGGGTCAATAGTAAGTCTGATGGCCCGAATAAAGTGATGATTTCCCATTCAAGTTGACCCAGCTGTACATAGGTGTAAAGGTGTAGGATAGATCAATACCAAGAAGTTTGACTAATTACTTGTTGGTAGAAAATCTAAGCCCTTAATTTGGTAAAACATTTGTTTGTAGTTGTCAAGTTGATCTAGTTTTATGGCCTATCTGGTGTTCTATTCTAGGCGTATGCTGTATATGATGAAGAGATTAGTTATGTACAAGGATTATCTTTCTTGGCAGCAGCTCTCCTACTACATGTAAGCCTTATTATTTTTACAGAATCGCATTTCACCAATGATTTCTGAATTAAATAATCAACTTAAAAATGTAAGCTTTGAATGACATATAGAATCGAGGAGCACATATAACAAAACACAAGACTATATTATGGAATATAACAGACTTCTTTAATAAGGTTGGGCACATAACGTTTCAACACAATATACACGTGTCGTCTGTACACTTAAAAATAGTCTTAGATTGTATTTTGAGTTATTCTTAGGACGTAAGAAAATATGGCTCCTGTATACCACAGTTTTGGAAAGGTCAAAAGGCTGAAAATTTTGTGGTATAAGGTGTCTTGTTTGATTTAGAAATAGACAATCATGTAGTATATGCTCATGCAGATCCCTTGCATGTATTCAGAGCACAGGAAACTTGGTATGGTTCTTACATGGAAATAACACACACAAACCAAGTTCACAGCCATTTTGAATCTCTTCCTCGACTTAGTTGAATTTTGAAAAAATATTTTTCTAAACCGTTGAATTTTGAAAAAATATTTTTCTAAACCTTCAAATCACATTTTGAGGCTTTAAATGTGATTTGAAGGCTTTGTTGAAATATTATAACCATTATCAAAATTCAACTTATAGTCAAGGTAGTGATTCATAATGGCTGTGAACTACAATCAAGTGTGTTATTTTCATGTTAGACCATAGTAGTTTAGTATAGTATTCAGAGATCACATACAAAAAGCCCCAATTGTCTCTCTTGAGCTGAGAGATATTATATTTCATTGGTGTATATTGATATGGTATAAGCATAGAAAATCTCCAGTTAAGATAATACCCAGTGTTTGATTTTCAATGTAGATGCCAGAAGAACAAGCTTTCAGTGTATTGGTGAAGATTATGTATGATTATGGTTTAAGAGATTTGTTTAAACCAGGCTTTGAAGAATTACATCTAAAATTCTATCAACTAGAAAGACTCATGCAGGTAAAACTGACTCATTGATTAGTAAAAATAGATTCCCCTCACAATATTGATTTTTTTCTATGGACTCTTATTTTGGATTGCATGGGCATTGTCTGACCCATGGGTTTTTCAACTATAGTCAGCTTAAATAAATGTACATGTCTCAGAACATTAATTGCAGAGATGAATGTTTAAGTCAAGGATTTGAAATTTTGTGTAGCAACAAAGTTGATCTATTCAGTTAGGCTATATTCTCAAACATGAAAACAGATTGCACGGAAAACCTAAAAGAAAATCACGAAATACTGGGAAGAGGGGTAATAGTAAGGATTTATAGGGGAAGACCGGTAATAGTGTGGATTTATACTAGGAAGAGGGGTAATAGTAAGGAATTATAGGGGAAGAGGAGAAATAGTTAGGAATCACAGGGAGAAGGGGGAATAGTATGGATTTATAGAGGGAAGAGAGGTAATAGTAAGGAATTATAGGGGAGAAGGGGGAATAGTATGGATTTATAGAGGGAAGAGTGGAAATAGTAAAGAATTATAGGGGAAGGGGGAATAGTAAGGATTTATAGAGGGAAGAGGAGAAATAGTAAGGAATCACAGGGAGAAGGGGGAATGGTATGGATTTATAGAGGGAAGAGAGGTAATAGTAAGGAATTATAGGGAGAAGGGGAAATAGTATGGATTTATAGGGAAGAGAGGTAATAGTATGGATTTATACTAGGAAGAGGGTAAATTATTATAGGGAGAAGGGGTGTTATACGATTGATCAGGGACCTTGAAAGGGAAAAGGTTAAAAACCCCCGTTTTAGGTGAATATAGTCAATTAATGGAAGCTATGTAAATGCCCATGAAACCATTTTTGTATCGACATGTTCTCTTTCCAAGTATGGATTAATCCTTTTTTCAGGATCAAAT